CCCCCCCCCAGTAGGAACCCCAGCTTGCTCCGAGTATGATTTGATTGTGCACATCCCTCTTCCCCTCACACTGCAGGTTCTGGGAGGTTCCACAGTCCTTCTGCTTCTCCTCCACACCTGACAGCTAATGACAGCCAGTATTTGTCATGGAAAGTCTCATTAGCCCCATTTTGCAGATGAGTAAATAGAGGCTCGAAGAGGCAACACTCTTTGTCCAACTCCTAAGCTGATTATCAGCAGAATCTGCATTCAAACCCCAGTCTTTCAGACGGCAGAGCCTGTAGTCCCAGCCTCCTGGATACACAAGGTGTTTAATAAATGCTTGAGAATTGGATGGTCTCAGGAGGCCACAAGTACTAAAGGTATTTATTTAGTCTCTCACTCGAGGAGAGCAGGGAATCCTCAGATGCGGCCAGGAAACCTGAAAGCTTACCCATGCCCCGTGCCCAACCAAACCCTATTTTTAGAGCCCCTCTGGCCTCTTACCAAAAACACTTGAAACTTAATAAGCACTTTAACAGGCCCCACTCGGAGCCAGGCTTCCTCCAGGGAAACCACAGGTCCCACAATGACATGAGAGGAGCCCAATAGGAAGGATGCAGCCACATCCCCCACGGTCCAGGGAGACCTGAGGGGCTGATGACAGAGGTCTTGAGAAAGGGGTTAGAGCAGATGAGAGGCTGAGAAGCACAATCTGGACACCCACCGCCTTGGGGCTAAGAAAATGTGTGAGATGCTGCTGCACATCCAAACTCACTCCCGCGTGAACATATGCACCTGCACGCACCAACACCTCCACCAGGAGGACCACCTGGGTCTCGTGGAAGGAGCCCTGGGGAGGGCGTGCTCTGCATCTGGGTTTCCCTGGATTAAGAAGGGAGGACCTCCTGTTCTAGCTGGTTCACTGAACACTCCAAGGACTCGAGTTCTTGGAAGCTTAGCACAGGTGCCTCCCCTCACTGCCCCACAGGAGAGAGGTCATCTCACCGTGTGGCCAGCCCAGGAGGCTCTTCCCAGAAGCTCTGATAGGAGCCTGGTGATTGATCAGTTCCTAGCCTCCCCCCAATGCTCATTTGCTAGCCACTTCTCACGGCTTCTGTCCTCCAGGCGTTCCAGCATGTCTAGCTGTGGCCACCCAAGTCCACTTTGTGGGCACAACTGCTTTTGAAACGAATTCCTTGAAACCCCTGAGCTCAGTACTTCATTTGAATGTGGAGCTTATCATCCTGGCTGGTGTCTAAGGCTGTCAGGAGGTTCAAGGGAGGGAACATTGGGGGTGTAGCAATAAGTTTGGCTGGAAATTGGGGTCTTTCCTTTAGGGCCCATGACTGTGCAGCCAGCTAGCCTGGGGCTGCATGTCTGAGACAAAGAGAAGCATTGGCTTAGCCGCCCCTCGCTTTCCTCCCCCATCTCCACCATCCACCATCCACCATCTCCAGCCCCAGAAGAGAGACCACACCTTCTGTGGTCTCCAAATGTGGACACAGAACCTGACCCAAGAATGGAAGGCAGGCGGCAGGTCTCCAGTTAAGTCCTGAGGGTTCTGTCTCCCCCAGAACTGGTGGTCCGGAGAGCTGGAGTCCACCCTCTACTGCTACTAACCACCCGTGAGCTCAGGCTGGTCACTGCCCCTCTCTGTACCTGGCTCTCACCTGTGGCTCGAGGGAGTTGAAAACATTTAATTGAATTCTAATGCTGCCCAGGGGTGGCAGGAGAGGCAGCAGAGGAAAGTGAGACGGGGGTACCCGGCCAGGTCTCCCAGGCTGTTTGTGGAGTAATGATTCAATTAACCCCCCAGGAGAAGAGCTTAAAGGCCCAGTACCAAATGGCACGTAACACTCATGCCAAGACCTCCTTGCCCACTGGAGAGCTGGCTGCAGCTGCCAGCGACGGCAGAGGAGGCAGGCCCCTAATCAGGCCCAGCAGGGGCCCTGGACCTGGCCTACGATGCAAAGAAGATGACATCTTATGGAAACAAACCCAGAACCCCTCCCAGGCTGCATGGGGAATAGCCCAGGATAGAGACTGGGGCGAAGCACACTGTAGATGCTCAATAAACAGCAGGAGAATGCATGAAGGACTCTCCCCTTCTCCCTGGGATTCTCTCCTATGTGATTCTCCCACCTTCTCCACCAGGAGGACCACCTGGGATAGTCTCCCCCACCACCCAAGCAAATTGCCTCCAATAGAGTCCACTTTATTCTAAATGGAGGTCATTCCTACACATGCTTCTATTAATTTGGCCACTGGGTGCCCAGAACTCAATAAGAGCCCCTGGATTTGATAATAATACCACAGCTGACTTTTACTGAGTGCTGACTATGAGCCAGGCACTGGGCTAAATGCTGTACTACCAATCCCACGCGGCAGGCGCTATTTTTATTCCCATCCTCCAAATGAGGAAGCTGAGGCTTAGAAAATTTTAAGTAAATAGCTACAGGTCACCAAGACTAGTAAGTAGCAGAGCCAGGCCCCACCCCCTTTCAGCCCACCGTGGAGCTCCCCAGCACTAATTTCAGTTCGTCTCTCTCCTCCCCCTGTGGAGGTGAGAGTAGAGCTGCTCAACCAAGGGCAAGTGGCCCCCAGGAGACCCTGGCTGTGTCTGGAGGTATTTTTGTTGTCACAACTACAGGGGTGCTACTGGCATCTAGCAGGTGGAGGCCAGAGATTCTGCTAAACGTCCTACTACGCACAGTAAGCCTCCCACAATAAAGACCTGTCCGCCGAATGCCGACAGTGCAGAGGCCGAGGAGCAGCTAATGAAGGAGAAAAGGCTTCAGCTGCCAGGGAAACCAGGATTCTTGGAATAAGTCATTTAACAGCCTAAAATCTCAGCTTCTTTATCTTTTAAATGGGGCTGATAATGCCTCAGCAGGCTTAATTGCACCTAGCAGAGCAGCCAGCAAATAACGGGTACTTAATGAGCTGTCACTGTGGTCGGTCCTTCAGCGCAGCTCCTCTGAGGGCAGCACGCCCGGGGCCAGCAGCACAGGACATTTTTGAGGATGACAATAGGTGGGTGGAGAGCTGCCTGCCCGTAGCTGAGTGTGTGGCTCTGCACTATCCCCTGTGCTGGGCCACAGGAAATGACACCCCAGTCCCACAGTGGCAGTGCCTGGGCAGTGTGGGCTGGGAGTAGGTGAAGGGTGATGGAATTCAGTCTGTGGTCAGCTCCAGGACGCAATGCCCTGGGGGCAGACTTGCCTGGGCACCTGCTGGGGGCCAGAGGCTCCTCTTGATGTGGGAAGGTGAGCACAGGGTAAGGGTTTTCCTGGGCACAGGTTCTAGAAGCCTCCTTAGGTGGGCAGCTCCCCTCGGACCTGGGAAAGGAGGCTGGGCACCCTGAAGAAGCTGCCCCAGATCTCAGGCCTGGGGTTCCTGGCAGGGTGAGGGCGTGGCAAGAAGGCAGCTGGGGCACAGCCAGCCACGGAGCCAAGGCAAACAGCCTCCTCCCCACCCCGCCCCACCCCCAACGCCAGCTGCAGAAGGTAGGAAGGGCACCAGCTATCGTGAGGCTAGATGAATTACCTGCTCCCAACCAGGCTGGCAGATCAAAGGGGCTTGGACCCCACCCTCCACCTGGGCCCCAGCACACACACAGATACACTCTCCCCAGCCCTCCTGCCCTTCAGCTGAGAAAGACGACACAGGCTCAGCCCAAGCAACCAGGGGCGTTGTCTGTGGCTGGCAGAGGGAGAAGCCTACCAGGCCTCTGAGCGCCTGCCTGCCTGACTGCCTGAGAGTCTCAGGCCTAATTTAGATTCAATGCCAAAGCCAAGCCCTTTGAAGAAGCCTCCTCTGGGCAGACCACAGAAGCCATTTAGAACAGACCTTCCCACCTACCATTTCCCTTCCCTATTGCTCCTGGGACCCTCCCTTGACCCCACCTCTCCTTAATGTGAGTCCAGCCTCCCACTGGGCTCCCCATTTCTCCCTTGAGCAGAAAAAACTGAGAGCAGAGAGAGAGGGGCCAGTGCAGCAATCTAATCCTGGCAGCCCATGGCAATCACTGCCTCCCCACCTCTGTCCCAACTTCTGGCACAGGGTGGGGCCCAGACACTGCATTTTCAAGAGGCCTGGTAACTCTGCTCTTGAGGAACTCTGGGCTAATCCAATCGTCTCACGTTTTTAGGTGGAGGAAATTGAGGCCCATCTCGAGATACACAGAACCTTTGCAGTCTGATTTTCCTTTTGTTCCTTCCCCTCTGTCCTGTCCAGACTTGGGAGTCCAAGTCCCAAGACATGGAAAAGAAAGGCGTGCTTGTCTCTCAAGATGGGGGGGTGCGCTCAAATGAGGATGCCCGGTAGAAGGCAGTGGCCATGCTGGGCTGCCCTGGTAAGGACTAAATGAGGCAGTGTTTATAAAGCACTTAGCAAGCACTGGGCACATATCTGGTCCCTCCCCACCTCCCAGGATTCATTGTCCTTTCCACAAATATTTACAGACTATCCATCATAGGCCAGGCACCGTTCTAAGCATGGGAGACAGTGGTTACTCAGACAAAAGCTCTCTAGTGGAGTTTACACTCCAGTGAGGAAAAACAGATCATAAACAACTAAACAA